AACTATAGACACTGTCTCAAAAACAATGTGAAGGGCAAGACAGATGGCTCAGGGGGTCAAGAACCACCACAACTTCTGAGACCTCCATGTGCAACCAAACACACAAGACAAACAAACGTCTGGAAACTTTAGGTGGGCAGCTGGTAAGATAGCACAACAGGTAAAGGCCCGTGGTGCAGAAACCTGGTGACCTGAGTTCCACCCCTGGAACTCGTGTAAAGTTGAGAGAGCGAAGTCCACAAAGGCGTCTTCTGACCTCCACAAAAGCATCATGCACACACACCCTATAATAATAGACAAATAGAAATGTAACGTGATAGAGTGAAAAACAGTTTCGGCTAACACTGATCTTGACTTCTGCCCTATGACTCTCTGTGTACATACAGGCACGCATGCAGGCACAAATATGTGATCATGTATACACAGATATAGAACACATACAAAGTCTCAGAATTTTATTCCTTTGGTGATTAACCCATTTCAAAAAAATTTTAACCACAGAAAGCTTGACCTTCTACATGTGAAAAATGGAACTATGTGCCATTGTTACAAGTATCTGGGTAATGAAGTTAAGTCATCTTTACCTTTGTTCTGGCTTCAATATCAGCACCGCAGGCCAGCAGTTCTTCAGCCATTTGGATGTTCCCCCTAAGCACGGCATAGTGGAGTGCGTTTTTTCCACACACATTCATGGCGTGTGGATCAGCGCCGAGGTTAAGTAAAATCGACACGCATTCTTCATGGTCCCGCTGTACAGCCTGTGATTATTGTACACAGAAATAAATTAGCAGTTCAAGGAATCCAAGATTAAATTTCCAAATATGTCACTGCATAATTACCCTTAAGTGAAATAAAATTTTGCTCTAAGTATATTTACCCCTTCTTTTGAGACAGGGATCTGCTTAGGTAAGCTCAGCCTTGCCTCAATTCAAAATCTTCCTGCCTCCCATGATAGGATTACAGGTGTATGTCAGCACACCTGCTTAGTGTTCTCAAATATTTCATTTTTGAAAATTTCTTACAGGAAAAGTGTATTTGCATTACTGAAACCCCTCTGATCCCCCTCCTACTCCTCCGGTATCAACCCAAGCCCTCTGTTTCTTCTCCTCCTCTTTGCTACATATACACCGTATGCTAATGTATACGGATATGAGTTTACACATACCGAGACCACGTAGTGGAGGTGGATTTTGTGTACCTGTGTTTAGGCTTGCCCACTTGGGATCAGATAACATACTGTGGAATTAGTCCCTGGAAAAAATGATTCTCCCTCCCTCAGCATCCATTGATTGCCTGCAGTTCATATTTAGAGGTGGGATTCTGTGAACCTTCCCCCGTCTTGGCATGTCAATTGGTTTCATCCTCATGCAGACCTGGTTAGACTTCAATACACTGGAGATCTCACTGGTGCGAATTATCGTATCTAGAAAGCATTAACTAGCAGCACACGCCTGAATGTTCTAAGATTTTAATACTAATCCATCTCAACTGAAACTGTGGCCCAATATCCACCTTAATTAGGGGTGTGCTCTCTTCATCATCACGGGCATTTATGTTCCAATTTTTCTTGATGAGGAGCCACACCACATCCGGGTGGTTGTAGGTACAAGCATAATGCAGCGTGATCCTGTGGAAAGGAAAGGGGGTTTTAGGAACTTGGAGAACTAGGTCAAAGCACCTTCATCCAGACAATT